TACGAGAGGTGTGTGTGCCTTCGGGACACAATCAGTTGGAAATGACTCCCTCTATGGGAACCTACCCTACCGAGCCTATTTAAAAAAACGTGACTGAGTTATGTGGAGGCAGCCAAAAGGACGTATATCCAGTGCCCAGGATGGTATACTGATGAAACTGGAAAAACCTTCGATGACTTTAATGCTATCGCCCAGAATGGCAACGCAGGGCTCCTATGTTAAAGAAATGAGAATGAGCAGTTCTCGGAAAATACCCAGTTCTAGGAATTCCACATGAGCTGTGAAGTCATCGATGACGTCACAGTTATGCAATGTCTAACGTAAACACAACAGCGGTAGCCATTTGCCATGGGACCGTCACTTTCAAAAGAATGGTCTTATGCCCACTCTTCACAGTTAAATCTCGGGATCGCCTTAGTGATAGTCACGATCGTGACACGGGGTTACGAAGGAGTGTAAACAATTCCCCAGAACAAATGGATCAAGAGTATGGTGGACAGGAAAGCCCATTGAATGAAAACAACATGTGTGAGTACGTACTGTTACTGGGCATTGTGTTGCAAACTTTACAGCCACTTGAACCATTTAATAGTAGATACAATGAAATCACAACGTTGCTAAGATCATTAGGTGAATATATTGTGATATGTTACAATTATGATGTTACATTTCATACCGTTTGTAAACAAAAGATCAGGGACACCCCTAATCCTGCATCTTTTGTCAAATTGGTCTTGTTAGCGGGGGAAATAAACGTTTGAAAAAAATGCCAGCCTATCGTTGTTATTATTGTTGTTTGCATTGAATGTACCATTCTTTTGAGAGAGATGGGTGGCCCTGAAAAGGACCGTTTTGTGGTGTGTACCTCACTCACAGGGACCACAGCTGGGTCATACATTGGCATGGGTGAATGCCCAGCATTCGTTTCACTACACACTTGCATCCATGCGTCAACCGGTCAATATAGGTATATTTGAGGCTGGTACCACAATAAACAGACTTTAGAACTACATCATCGTCACCGCACGCACGCCATCGTCTACGCCACTCTCCTTCCCTCCCTCCCTCCCTCCTTCCCTCTCCTTTCCTCTCCTTCCCTTCCCTTCCCTCTCCGTCCCGTCCCGTCCGCCGCTCGTCCGTTCCGCCATCTTGAAAGGCGTCTACGCTCGCGAGATCCCGCGAGAATCCACGAGATCCCGCGAGATCTCACCCGATCCCACCGGATGGGACGCCATCTTGAACCGCGTCCGCCATCTTGGCCCGGAGGTGACGTCATCGTCATGTGCGCGCACCCACCGGAACCGGACGTGACGTCATCGCGATGCGTGCGCACCCACCGGAACCGGAAGCACCGGAACCGGAACCCGAGTGATCTCTGGTGGTTTGGGTTTTGATGTTGTATGCCGCAGTCAACACTATTTCAGCAATAGTTGGAAGGTTGATCTGGGCCTGTCAGTGCTGTAGACGGCAGAAACGTGTCAATATTTACATGCATCCTGCATACCTCACGGCAAACAAACCCCATGGGTTCCTCAATGAGGGCAACGTCTAAGAACTAACACACTTCAGCTTTTGGTTTTCCACATCAAACTGGGACGATGTATAACAATCAATTTCAGCAAGACATTGTGTGATACTCGTTTCTGTTTGGCTGAGAGCTTATCAAAACCGTACTTAAATGGCAGTTTAAGGACCGGTAATTTAAGCGTACGATTGACTGCGTATGAATATAATGAACTCGTTGACACTTTTTGTTTGGAAACAAACATGTCGGACATAGGCGATTTCAACCTCGGTAGCATCTTTGATATTTTTGAAGTAAAACGCGAATTGTTCGAAGAAGAATTTCGTGAGACAAATCCCATTGAAGAAACTTTGAAGCAGGAAAATTCTACAGGAAACGATAATTCGTATTAAATTTGATAAATTGAATCAGTAGATCTAGAGGGCATGACATTGTCAACACCCGTCCTAACCTGCATGTAGTTCATATAAATACACTCGTATTCTAGCCAAAGCCTACATCGAGCACACCTTGGTATAGCGCCCTGTCCGCTTCAGTGCCGGCCGTAATGCCCAGTCCTTCCACTGCCACTGTCCATGTTTCCCACACACAAAACTGGCATGTCAGGTCTTTTCAAAATTGGGAACAGTAGCGCGGTAATCAACAATTACTTCTTTGAATAAAGTTAGCGGCGACTAAACTAAGCGAGTTGACTGACAGATTAACATACAGTAGGGGAGATTAATACAAATCAAATAATTGCCCTTGTAATCTATTTAACCTACTTGTTACAAATACAAGAATATTGGTTCCCGAAATAAACATTTATGTTGTTGAAAATGACTTATGTCTTCATTACACAATCTGTTCCTCAACTGGTCGATTCCATGCAATTTCCAGGAAAAAGACCCCATCACGACTTGTGTTCTTGCGCGCAAATAGTCCGATCTTAAAACTCTTATCAGTCGTGTTAGAATGAAGATAAAGCTGCTCAATTTTGCGGTCACGCGTTCGGGCTTTAAATTACCTATAGCGGTCTTAAATCAACGATAAAGGACCGCAAAGTTGAAAACGGGTAGCTTTATCTTCTAATTTGGAAGCATCTACATATCAGGTGAATCGCTAGTGTCCAGAAGAATGTGCACACACTGTAAGTCTCACCTGCTCTCCCACCATGCCTGTACCTGCACCCACACACTGTAAGTTCTCACCTGCTCTCCCACCATGCCTGTACCTGCACCCACACACTGTAAGTCTCACCTGCTCTCCCACCATGCCTGTACTTCTCACCTGCTCTCCAACCCACCATGCCTGTACCTGCCTGTACCTGCACCCACACACTGTAAGTTCTCACCTGCTCTCCCACCATGCCTGTACCTGCACCCACACACTGTAAGTTCTCACCTGCTCTCCCACCATGCCTGTACCTGCTCTCCCACCATCCACACACACACGTGTTCCACACCATGCCTGGTACCCTGTAAGTTCTCACCTGCTCTCCCACCATGCCTGTACCTGCACTCCCTTGCACACACTGTAAGTCTCACCTGCATGCCTGTACCTGCACCACACTGTAAGTCTCACCTGCTCTCCCACCATGCCTGTACCTGCACCCACACACTGTAAGTTCTCACCTGCTCTCCCACCATGCCTGTACCTGCACCTGTAAGTCTCACCTGCTCTCCCACCATGCCTGTGTGTGTGCCCCACCTGCACCCACACACTGTAAGTCTCACCTGCTCTCCCACCATGCCTGTACCTGCACCATGCCTGTACCTACACACTGTAAGTTCTCACCTGCTCTCCCACCATGCCGGTACCTGCACCCACACCATGCCTGTACCTGCACCCACACACTGTCTCACCTGCTCTCCCACCATGCCTGTACCTGCACCCACACACTGTAAGTTCTCACCTGCTCTCCCACCATGCCTCACCTGTGCCTGCACACCCACACACTAGTTCTCACCTGCTCTCCCACCATGCCGGTACTCCCACCACCAGCCCCACCGCCCACCTGCACCCACACACTGTGTCCTCACCTGCCTCCCCCACCATCCTGCACCCACACTGTAAGTTCCCTCACCTGCTCTCCCACCATGCCTGTACCTGCACCTCCTCACCTGCACACTGTAAGTGCACCCACACACTGTTTCTCACCTGCTCTCCCCTGCACCATGCACTGTACCTGCTCCCACACACCTGTGTTCTCACCTGCTCTCCTACCATGCCTGTGCTGCACCTACACCTGCTAAGTTCTCTCTGCTCTCCTGTTTCTCCATGCCTGTACCTGCACCCACACACTGTAAGTTCTCACCTGTGTGTTCTCACCTCTCCCACCATGCCTGTACCTGCACCCACACACTGTAAGTTCTCACCTGCTCTCCCACCATGCCTGTACCTGCACCCACACACTGTAAGTCCTCACCTGCTCTCCCACCTGTACTGCACCACACACACTGTGTGTTCTCACCTGCTCTCCCACCATGCCTGTACCACCCACACACTGTAAGTTCCTCACCTGCTTCACCTGCTCACTCCCACACACTGTGTGTTCTCATGCCTCCCACCATGCCTGTACCTGCACCCACACACTGTGTGCCTCTCACCTGCTCTCCCACCTGCTCTCCCACCTGCCCTGCACCCACACACTGTAGAGTTCCTGCACCTGCCTCTCCCACCATGCCTGTGCCTGTACCTGCACCCACACACTGTGTTCCACTCTCCTTCAAGTGCCTCTGTACCTTGTACACACTGTAAGTTCACTCACCTGCTCTCCCACCATGCCTGTACCTGCACCTGCACCCCCACACACTGTAAGTTCTCACCTGCTCTCCCACCATGCCTGTACCTGCACCCACACACACACTGTAAGTCTCACCTGCTCTCCCACCATGCCTGTACCTGCACCCACACACTGTAAGTTCTCACCTGCTCTCCCACCATGCCTGTACACTGCACCTCACCTGACTGTGTGTGCTCCCACTGCCTGCCTGTGCACCCACACACTGTAAGTTCTCACCTGCTCTCCTCACCATGCCTGTACCTGCACCATGCACACCACACACTGTAAGCCCTTCTCTCACCTGCTCTCCCACATGCCTGTAAGTTCTCACCTGCTCTCCCACCACCATGCCTGTGTTGCCTGCACCCACACACTGTAAGTTTCTCACCTGTTTCCCCTGCTCTCCCACCATGCCTGTACCTGCACCCACACACTGTAAGTTCTCACCTGCTCTCCCACCATGCCTGTACCTGCACCCCACACACTGTAACCTACACACTGTAAGTCTCACCTGCTCTCCCACCATGCCTGTACCTGCACCCACACACTGTAAGTTCTCACCTGCTCTCCCACCATGCCTGTACCTGCACCCACACACTGTAAGTTCTCACCTGCTCTCCCACCATGCCTGTACCTGCACCCACACACTGTAAGTTCTCACCTGCTCTCCCACCATGCCTGTACCTGCACCCACACACTGTAAGTTCTCACCTGCTCTCCCACCATGCCTGTACCTGCACCCACATCCAGGATTCTCACAGACGATGCATCCATTCCCTGAAGAACTCAGCCACTCCATCCGACAGAAACTCGGGGTCTTTGTACTCTTTCGCCTTCCATGTCTGACCAGCATTTTAAAACACCATGTCAACACAGCGAACACATTGCAGTAATAGAATCGGATGGGTAATAGACTGACTTAGTAAAACAACAGAGGCTTCACCATCGTTATCATTCCATGAGGTGAAGGTTTCCAACAGAAGTATGGGAGGCTAGAGTATTTTGGCCTTCGGTATCGCTGGTCTAGAATACTGTGAAAATACAATTCCGTTGGCAATGTCAGAAAACTACATTTAACGCTGTGAATGCTAATTCAGCAACTTATCAAAACAAGCGATCAAAATCTACATCTGTCTTATATCAGAGGTAGTTTTCAGTTGCATGTATTTGTCTCTTTTCTAAAGTGACTGGTGGCGCTGGGCTAGCCTGTGGTTAAGGTGTTCTCTCGTTACGCAGAAGACCCGGGTTCGATTCCCCATATGGGTGCAATGTGTGAGGCCCATTTCTGGTGTCCCCGCCGTGATATTGCTGGAATATTGCTAAAAACGGCGTAAAACTAAACTCACTCACTCACTCTAAAGTGACTGCCGAAGCACAGTGTAGAATAGAAACTGTCCTGAATATGAAACTGTCTCTTTCTGTAATTTAACGCCGCATTGATGTAACCAATCTAGTCAAGACGAGACAATGCAGTCATTAGTATTGGTGAAAAGATAACGTCATTGTGCTATAGTACCACACCACAACCATATCACTAAGTGAGAGCACCGGTCGGTGTCTTTGCAACCGTTAAATGTTGCTGGGGACCTGTATCAACCAACACTCCTGCTGACGGGCTGCTAACTGTCAAGGTTCTGTGTTGTCTTTTCTCATATTTTGGTGAAGTAATCTGATTTATATTCTATATAGAGTTGAAAAGCAATGTCATATATCCTTCTGGCATCCAGGGAGTCATCGGTATTCAGTTACAGGGAAGAAATAAATAATCCCATGTTCACATTGAGGATAGACAAATGTCTGACCACTTCTTGATAACTTTCACCATGGACATACACAAGAAGCTGAAAAGTGAAAGCACTGTACGTTGTCGCAATATCAAGAACATTCATATGGAGGAATTCAAGAATGAAATAGTTCAGTCCTTTGATAATACATGTGAAACCACTGATTGTCTGGTTGATAGTCTGCACAAAACTCTTGCAACTTTGCTTGACATACATGTTCCATCCAATGTGAAAAGGGTTAGGAAAAATAACAAAACCCCATGGTATTCAGATGTGATTCTACATGCTACTTAGTAGTTATTCTACCGGTTGGGTATGATGATTCTTCTCTGGCCAAAGTCTTCTGTGAATACTTCTCTGACAAGATTTCCAACATCACATCCAACTTTACCAATGTGCAAGAGGTTACTAAAACTCATGAGTACAATGGATTGCCTATGGATAGCTTCAGACCCTTGACTGAAGCTGAGGTTCTGAAACTAATCGTGAGCTCAAAGCCAACTTTTTTCACTCTTGATCCGATTTCGACGAAGTTTTTCTTGAACTGTATTGATGTGCCTTTACCTGTCATTACCCAGATCATCAACCTAAGTTTACAAGAAGGTACAGTGCCAGACTCTTTCAAGTCAGCCGTGGTCAAGCCACTGTTAAAAAAGTCTAACTTGGACCAAAGTCTGCTGAAGAATTACCGGCCAGTGTCCAATGTAGCATTCATTTCTAAACTTCTTGAGAAAGCGGTTAAACTCAGACTTCAAGAGCATTAAGTTGCCAATGATCTTCTTTACAAATACCAATTGCCCTACAGGACGGGACATCCAGGCGAAGGGGTTGCTATTCTGTATACACGATGCAATGGCTGCTCAGAAAGCTTCTCCACAAATGACCGACTCTGAGCAGACTTGGTGAAGGACTTCACCTGGTTTACTCCCATCACTGTACCGTCCAGCAGTACATCGCCATCAACAAAATCAACCTCAAATTTCAGATTCTGTCCAACAACTTTGGCACACTTAAGATAGCTGTGGAATTCCTTGCTTTCATCGTGAGTCTTCACATGCATCACCAGAGGGTCATCCGATAAATAAATTTGTGCAAAAATACACAATAAAATTCTATCATGAAGAGCCTCCACATTAATCAAACCACGACCTCCAGAATTGATTGGCAGATATTACGATTAAGAGAGGAACGAGGGTGGTGAGCTCTGTTATCAGACATGATCCTTCTGGTCAGGCGGTCAAGACTCTGGATGTCTTGTTTTGTCAAATCAACTACTCCAAAGGAATAGGAAAGGACTGGCACAGCCAAGGTATTGGTGGCTTTGACCTTGTTTCGAGCATTTAGCTCTGAGCTCCAGATTTTCTGTAAACGAGATTTGTACTCGGCCCGAAGTTTGTCTTGAATCTGGGCATTCTGGAGCTTGTCTCGAATTTCGATTCCATGATAGGTGTAGGCCTTATCTTCAACAAGATGCTCAGTAACTCCTCCCTCTTGTAACCTGACCGATCCATCATTAATTACCTTGCCACGTTTCAAATGAAGAATATTACATTTGTCAAGTCCAAATGTCATGCCAATATCATTAGAAAAGGACTCGACAAGGAGAACCTGCTCTTTCAAATTGTTATCTCCTTTGACAAGGAGCTCGATGTCATCCATGTAGAGAAGATGAGTAAGCGGTGTTGGGGATCTGTGCTGAGGAGGTCCGGGATGGTAGACCTCCTCTTTGTCAAGCAGAAAACTCAAAGGATTTAAAGACAAACAAAAAAGCAAAGTACCTAAGGAATCCCCCTGGAATATTCTCCTTCTGATTGAAATAGATTCCAAAGTCTGCACCTGCCCTTGCAAGTACATCTCAGACTTGAGTAAATGAAGTAGTCGCTCAGGGAGGTCAATACAACAAAGAGACTTCAGAATCAATTTACGAGGGACAGAGTCATATGCTTTTTGTAATCAATCCAGCACATGGAGAGATTGCGGTGATATGTTTTAGCCTCTTCGAAAATCATTTTTTGTACAAGAGGTTGATCCTTGCACCCCCAACATCCCTTTATCGCTCCCTTCTGTTCTCTATAAATTATATCATTGGAAGAACAGTGGGATGACACAAGGTTTGTCAAACACCCTGTGAATATTTTATACTGAGTATTCAAACATGTGATAGGGCGGAAGTTTTTGGGATCAGTCAATCTCCTTTCTTGGGAAGGAGTATTGTGCCACCTTTGCAGAACCATGGAGGAACATCACCTGTGTCCACAAGAAAACTGAAACAGTGAAGTAATGGTGTTTGACATAGGGGAACAGTTTCCAATACCAGTTTCGAATGCCATCAGGCCCTGGAGCTGTATTAGATTTGGACTTTTTGATGACACTTTTCAGGCAATCTGGTGTGATGTAGCAGACAAACGACCTAGTTACTTTCTCATGCATTGCATGGTAATAATCTCGTACCCATGGTGCCTCCCGGTTACTGTCGCCGGGTACAGACCACAAGTGTTTCCAGAACCTTTCATTTGCATTCATGGGAGGCCGTTGATCATGCTCACCATCACCATTTCTTTTCAGTTGCCTGTAGAAGTGCTTTTCGTTATTTCTTAAAAGCTTATTGTGTTTAATCAAGTTATTTTTATGTTTCCTTTTCTTCTTTCTTTCTGTCCAAACCTTTATTTTGGCCTTAAGGGAATCGACAATTTGGAGAAATATCTTTTCTTTGGTTGTTTTGTATATCAGTTTTAATTTTCTCCAAATTGCTTTTTGTCGTTTTGACATTCGACTCCCTGATGATCTTAACTTCAGGCAAAGCTCTATTCAGGAAAAGTATGTTCTAGTTTCTGTTAATTTTACTTGAAACCGGTTTTTCTTTGGTGTATTGTTCTTAGTATTGGATGTGTTTTCTTTGGAAACTGTGTGAATTTCCTCCAAGGTTCGAGCGGCTGCATAGACACAACAATTAACTTCATGTTACAAATAGTCCGCAGAAAGTTTCATAGAAATTATATCATTTAATAAATTAATTTCATTTTTAGGGAAAGATTCAGTTGTTTGTTTAACTGGCCTCCGTTTTTCTAAAGGTAAGTCAGATATTTCATCATAAACAGAATGAAACAAAATATACACGGGATTTTCGGAAAGATCTGCACTGAGGAAGAGGAAGAGTGAGGATCCGAAATTTGGGGGCCAATTGGCTCTATACCGAAAGAATTTGCACCAGGAAGAGGAAAAAGGTTAACACGGACGTTCATCAGAAGAATTGGGTCTGCTGCCACTTGAGCATTCTGCTCATGCAAAGGTTCCTGACGGGCACCAGTTATGGGTTGAACTGGCTCACGGGGCAAGAGATTTTTAAGCCACCGGAATTGATCTCGGAGATTTTGCTCCGTCAGGAAAGGATACATGGGCTTGGCATTGTCCAAATGCAACTTAAGCGACTTGCCATTGATGCGTTCATTATCAGGCCATCGTGTCGCTTTCGCACACTCAAGTAGTGTGGTATTGAGATGATTTGACCAAGATATTCTTGGTCGGGTTCTGTGCCTTCCCCTTGGGCAAGACCCATCTCCAGTATGGTTTGTCTCATTGACTGGGCTACGGAAGTGAATTAACAAAAACAAGCTTCGGGGGATCAGCCCTAACTGGGTGATGCACGTTTGATTCAGGAAATTAAATTCCCTATCTAGGCCCACCGCGGAGAGAGACGTACATCAGCAGATTATTATTATGTTTTACAGATTAAAGATAGTATGCAGCAGAGAGGGATCCTGGCACAGTCAGGCTGGTAAGGCTCATCATCAGCTCAGGGCCCTTGCCCCCTCTACACGCAGCCCAGACAGCGAATGGGACTTCTACCAGGAAACGCTGCCTAGTCGAACCCACCAAGAACTTTCCGGAGAATATGAAGGCTCCCCAACACTGCAGCCTTCTGCATTACCCAGAATGTCGGAAGGGCTGTGCTCCCGGTTCAGAACCTGGGCATTCTCCTGATCTGCGC